CTTCCCGAAACGACAGATGAACTATTATAAATCAAAACGCACAAAGTGCGAATAAAAGTACAAAGCTCCCAACGGGAGAATAAAATGGGAGGACAGATCTGACGACCGCCTAGAATCCCGATACTAGCAACGCTAGAAACCAAAAAAAACACGACAAACACAAAGAACTACAAACTAAAAAAACTAAAAAGCTCCCAACAGGAGAATACCTGACTGTCGGATCCCAATAGGATAATAAATTTGACACCAGGCGAACAGAGGCCAAATGGCCCAGACCAAAAACACAGCAACTACACCACCTAAAGAGCAAACAAAAAACACAAAACTATCCAACAAACAACACAAAAGCAACCAGAACTAAACAAGCTCTCCCGAAGCAGCGGCACCAAAGCGGATCAACGGAAACAAGGTGACGAATAGTCCCGCAGCCAGAAGAACCAACCCCGAAACTGCCCAAACCACTAGGTTGCCTAACGGAGTCGAGACCCTAACTCCGGTGCTACGCCAAGCCACCCCACCCCGCGGCCACAACACCGGATTGCCCGAAACGGACAAATGAGCGTCGCAGCCGCAGCCCCAACCCCGAACCACTTTGAAGCTGCCCAAAGCCACCACACCGGCGCATCACCTCTCCGACCAACACCACTGGCAGGGAGATAGACTTGTCGACACCAGCAACTCAACAACCGAGAACCTGGGCAGGCGACTTCAAACAACAACAACGCCCCAATCGCCGAAACAAACAGGTTGCCGAGCAATTGCGACGCCTCCCACCCCAAGAACAGCACCACGGCACCGCCACCACCCAATAGAGAAGCCACCATCTTGAATCGACCAGTCGACGCCTGAAAAAGCGAAAACCGATCGCTGTAGACGAGGCCCATATTCATTGAAACCGATGGCAGAGCGGAAAAGAAGGGGCAGAGACACAAGCGGCCAAGGGCCGGCGACCGCCGGCGAAGCTCGATGGCTACTCAGGAGGGCCTACGGATGCGAATTGAAAGAGCCGATGCGAAGGAATTGGGGGCTGAGGGTTTCGACTTACTTTTGCTCTTATGGCATTGATTTTTGGGAAAATCAAATTTTTTCATCTTCATATATATAACAATATAGTACTTGCCCGAAATATTATTGAGAAAATCATTTTTTTTTTCTCACTAAACAAAAAATAATCTATATCTATACTTATATTAAAAGGAAACCTATTTACTAAATATAGTAGGTAGAAAAGTCAACTTTAATTAATGAACTTCTAATTTTATCAAGTAGTAATTAATGCATTTATAATTTTAATCAAGTTTTCTATTTTACATATTGTTTTTAATCCTTCTTATCTTGACATAAAAAAATCTCATAAAACGGGGTGAGCAAAAACAATCAAAATTCTATTTCTAAAAACTACAAATCAATATTACGATTTTGAATAATACACTAACAAATTATAATATATTTTTATAAAACTTATAAAAAACTATTAATAAAACTTGGTTCGTATATTTGTATGGATATTTATATTTTTTTAATATTATCTTTGTGTTAAAAAAAACTATTTAACACTATTCTTTTTTATTATATAATAAAATAATAATTAAATATTATATGATGAACAAGAATTAATAAAACTGTTACTTTTTTATATCAAGGGATAAATTTATATACTGATATTAAAGTTTTATTAGTATAAATATTTTAGTGAGATACTATATTAATTATTTTACAAGCTAGCCCTAACATACCCATATTTAAATTATAGCTAAAAAACAATTCTGGTTAAAAGATATGAAAAAAAACTTATAACCTTATTATTTTTTAGACTTAACGTTGATCAAAAGAGGTAGAAAATAGATAATAACACTATTACTTTTAAGATTTAAACGGACAAGGCTGTTAAAATAACTCATTTAATATCTATGTTCCGACGGGGTACGTACTAGTATATGTAGTATATTAAAAGCCAACCTATTTACCAAAAATAGTAGCAAGAAAAGTCAACACACATTTAATGCAAATCTTATTTAGAAATTTTTTACTATATGCATTAAATGCTTGCATATTTACATTTACTATCCAGATATGATCTTGAAGATTTTTTCCTTAAATAATTTATGCAATTATTTTACTTATATCTATTATAATTAATATTTGTCGAGTAATATTTTTTAACCTTTATTTAATTATATAAAACTAATATTTTTTAAAAAATTAATATTATTTATCATTTAAAAGATAATGATCACTTCATTAAATGATTTTATTGATGGTTAGACAATAAAATTATATTAGTTGTTCTTTAAAATTTCACCATGTTATTTATTTGTATATTATTATCAACTATGATAGTGTTTTTATCACTTTTTTTTTTTTGTTATGTTTCAAAAATGAACTAATTGTAAAATATTTTTCTGTTGCATAGTATGTTAAATAAACTATAAAGCCTTAGGATGAAAATTAGAAAAAATCTCTTGATTATGTAAGGGATTTATTTTTTGGCAATTGCTAAATCAATTTTC